CTCCTCCTTCCTATGGTCTGAATCACACTGTTGGTCAGTGTTCCAAGATTAAATCCGGATGTTCCTTGCAATATGTTTTCAGTCTTTGACACGAAGCATTAGCAGTTTTGTCCGAACTTCCTGTCATCAGACACAAACGCTTCACTGCGTTTCAAACTCCAGGAAGTAGCGATCACTAGATGTCACCTCACCACCAGAGGGCAGCCCGACATGTATGGGCTTTCAAGATCTGCTCCAGTTGATTTACCAAATGCAGAGGTGGTTGTGGTCCGATCAGTAGAACAACCTGACCTCTTGGTTCTTACTCGGTGTACCTGCCCCTGTGGCAGTTTTCTGGGGCTGCAGTCTTCCAGTTTCAACATCCTTGGAATCACATCAGCTCAGAGTGAAGTCCAACTCTGGAAGCCCGACTTGTTGTCCCTCCGTCAGCTGTTTCTGCAGCTTTGATTTGAACCTGTTGTTCAGTTCGTCTCTGTGGTTCTGTTAAGTCTGGACCAGAGGAACCAGAACAATCCAGGGCTCCTCAGGTTCCACTCTTTATTTGCAGGTGGAAGTTCTCTGCTCCTCTGCTGAGGATGCTGGGAAACAGTGAGCCAGAGACAGCTGTGAAAACACTAACTCTCTGCAGAGAATGTGGTCCAACCTGTGGACCAGGACCACAGTGGTGTTTGGACACATTCTTCTTTGACAGTATCTTTGAGGACTTGACTGTAATCGCTGAGACCCTGAGCCAGAACCAGAACCGTCTTCATCCTCTCTCTGGTTCTGCTTGTTCTTTTACAATTTCTCCTCCAAATTCAATTTGTTGAGAGAGAGTCTGCAGTGAGAGACTGTAACAGGTCTGCTCACAATAACAGAGGGAAACAGATCTGCTGCCAATCAATGAAGATCTGCAGCTGCTCAGACGGGTTCTCTGTGGATGGACGGAGAACACCAGGAGCAGCAGAGACAGAGTCTGGCTGCTCTGGGACGGTGGAACCCTTTGATGCCAGGTCACTACAGCAGGAGGACTCCAGACACCGAGGTGTTCCATCTTCTTCTTCATGAGCTGATGCTCAAGTCCTGACAAACACAGGAAGAATCTGCGCCAGGGTCTAATGAAACCTTCATCAATGAAAGAACACGCAGCCCCAGTATCAGGGTCCAGAGCAGCGATGAGTCCACAGGTGGACACAGCCGGTTCTCATTTTTTGTGCTCTGAAAATCTCACGCTCCTGCTCTGGAATTACAGAAATGTCTGATAGAGGATTTGATAACAGAATCTGATCAGAGCCAATCCTGGAACAAACCGAGGCTGAGGATTATGATGGCGTCTGGGTGAATGGTGGAGATGATGGGGGGTTCCTACAGAACCTAAGTTCAACACAGACAGATGGATACATCTGTGTCCAAACATGTTGCTCTCGACCTTTATTTAGCAGCATTTTAGCTACAGAAACCATTAACCGTTTAAGCTGTCAGTATTTTTCTCAGCTGTCATCACTTTGGTAATCACTAATTGTCTGCTATATTTTAGCTAACTTTTAGGGATTGTCTCTACATGTTCAAATTACCTAAGGAACAGAAGTTCACTGAAGCAGCAGACTCTCTCTCTCTCTCTCTCTCTCTCTCTCTCTCTCTCTCTCTCTCTCCCCCTCCCCATACCACTGCTGTTTGGACAGACTGACCACATGACTTCCTGATGTCATCAGAGTGGCTGCAGGTATCAGTGAGAGTCAGTTCTAGTCACTCCTCCGGTCCATAATCGGTTCCTCTGCTGCTCAGACTTCAGTGGTTGGGTCAGGTCTTCAGGCCCGTCTCTCCTGCTCAAAGTCAAGCACGTTCAACGCCCATTTTCCAGCTTTTCAGCACCTTCCAGGTGCAGATGGACCTTCACGTCCATGGGGTTCTTGCTCTGATCTGTTGTTTTTCGTCCCAGCAGAGTCAGAACTGTTTGTTCTTATGTCAAAGATTGACTGGGCTCAGTGGTTCCTCTGATTAAAGTCCTGCTGAGATCTGGCAGAAAGTTCTGGTCTGCAGAGCCTGAGGCTGTGACAGTGCTGTGAAGTCATGGACGTGAAGACGTGAGTGGAAAAAATGCAGGGGTCAAGCCTTGCTCAGCAGGGGGCGCTGGCTCACAGATGCAAACAGCTTCTCACAAGTGAACAAGTTTTGTCTTTTTCCAAAACATTTGAAGAACGTTTAAAGAACGCTGGGAGATGGTAAACATTAGTGCCCCCTAGAGGCATCCCTGAAAGTGTGCTTGTCCTAAATTCAATCAAATCCATGGTTTGGGTGTCACTGCTATACAAATGAAAAGTCTAAACTGACCCTCCAGTCTGGTCCAACTCCAGGTCCAGTTTGGTTTTGGTCTAGCCACATTCTTCTAGGTCATAATAATTGGACTCCGACCGAGCACAGAGTGTGTGGTGGAGATGCTGAGGTGGGAAGGTGGTGGAGGAGGAGAAGAGGAGGTCTAGAGAATGAGCCTGTCACTCACCCAGAATCATTGTCAACATCTGCAGTCTTCCAGAGATATGGACACTTTGTGACCTCTGACCTCTTCCTGAACTGATGGCTGTTTCTGTCCTAATTCTTCGCAGCTGATTCTGAGGCTAAAAATAATTCCCTGGGATTAAAGCAGTGATAAGATCAGGACAGTTCTGACTTCACCTCGTCTCTCTGTACGTCTTCATCCAAAACAAAGACCTGAACTTTCCTGAACCTGGTCCTTTCATGTCTCCGTCCGCCTGGTTTTCCACCGTCGGAATAATCTCAGTTCTGTTTTCCCTGTCTCCTGTTTGGATGTCTGGCCTGTTGCACTGACCACCACAATTACTCAAAGTGTGTTGTCCGGAATGTTGTGGAAAAGCTCTTGGAAAGGAAAGGAACATTTGAAGGCCTAAATGACAGGAGCACGTGAAGGCACCGAGGATTCTGACTCTGGAAAAATCCAACAAACAGCAGAAGGTGGAGGTGTTTCTGACTCAGAGCATCAGCAGCAGCAGTGAAGGTGTGAGAGTCTGCCGCTCAGGGGATGTTTGTGCTGCGGAGGTGGAAAATGGGCCCATTCCCTTTTTTTCCATTCAGCTATCACACTTGATTTGTTTGAGAAGCTTCTGGAAAACTTCGTCACGATCACACCAAGGCTGGACACACACACCAAATGTGTGTGTGTGTGTACCTACAAAGTTAAAGCACCAGTGTCAGTGCTGGTGTCACTGGTCCAATCCACTGCTGATGCTGCAGCTGAACGTGAACCGCTGCTGAGAAGACTGATGCTGATGCTGTTTCTGTGCTGAAGTTGACGAGGCCCAGCTTTGACCAATCACAGCTCTCCATCAGCTGTATCTCAGTGTTGACAGATGAGACGGTTCTTTTTCCTCTTCCTCTGTCTGGACCAGGGGTGTCCAACTCATTTTCACAGGGGTCCACATCACCAATACAGTTCCCCTTGAAGGGCCGGTTATAACTGGAAGACTGTATAGATCAGGGGTCCCAACCCCCGGTCCGTGGACCAGTATCAGTCCATAGGTCACAGTGGGACACAATGAAAAACTGTACTTAATCTTTACTAATTTACTTCATTCAAAGTAAATCCTGTCATATCTATTTACTTTCTTTATTTAAAGGTACTCTGACTCTGTCATTCAGACTCTGATGCAAACAGAATAGAGTCTAGTAGATATTTTATGTATTATGTAATGCTCAGCACCTTGGTACTGGTCTGTAGTAACGAGCGGTACTGGCTGACCAGTCCTCGGTTGGGGACCACTGGTATAGATGTAACTACTCCATAAGAGGTTTCTGCAATTGATTATTATTTGATTGATTATAAAAACGTTTTTTTTTAAACAATTATTATTTGATTGATTATAAAAACGTCTTTTAAAAAATTTTAGGTAAAGAAACTCTTCTGCATGGACTTTACTAAATGCTTTAAGCTCCTGCAGGCCACACAAAATGGCTTGGCGGGCCGCATTTGGCCCCCGGGCCTTGAGTTTGACACGTATGGTCTGGACCTTCATGTTTTCCTGCTGTTGAAGCTGGACATTGAGGCACTGGGCACAGAGTCTGGCTCCTGGTCCACCAGTCCAGTCCAGGTTTATCACTCTCCATCCTTTGACTGTGATGCTACTCTGAGTCTCTCTGTCCAGAAGATAAAATATTTAGTCAACTGTCGAACTTGGATTAGAACCAGACTCAGGTCTTCAGTTTAGCAGAGGTTTGGATTTTTGAGGTTTCAGTAATGACATGAAAAGAAACAGAAGAGTCAGTTCTCAAAACTGGCTTAAAAAAGGATTTGTCTTTAAAGTTTGACTCAGCAATGTCAAACTTCCACATGTCCACATGGTGGCGTTACAGTAAATGAAGACATTGGTGGAGCATCAATGTTCAAGAGGAAGAAGATCACTCCGTGTACCACCACTAAAACTAACTTTGTTGGAAGGACTTGTCGACGTGGTTTTGAGGTCGTCAGAGCTTCTCCTTGGGCTGAATGGAACCTAGTGGAGAGGGTGAGTACTGCAGAATGAACTGAACCTTCAACTTATCCATAACTCTACGACTGTTAAAGAATTTTGGTTCCATCAAAGCTTGACATCAGCAGGGAAGAGCCTGGACCCAGAGTTCAGAGCTGAACGATACAGATCTTGGTGGAACCGACTAACGTAGGTCTGTCCAACACTTGTTCTTCTGTGATTCAACCTGCAACAATTCAAGGGCTCAAACACCAAAGCAGCTCATGTTCTACCAACGAGTCATACATGGTCCCAGTCATTTCCCAAAAGTTTATTTTCTATAAATAGCAGCCAATCAGCTTCTCTAAATTATTGGCCGTTGTTCTGACCGAAGTTCTCCATCCGTCGTCGTGTTCCAGCAGGGAGGAACCAGGAACTCTTGGGTGTTAACTTCAGTTTGTTGGTTCTCACAGAGGAAGGAAACACTTTCACCATATCAGATCCTACATTTCACTTTTTCATTTGTTTGACAATAAAAAAAATGGAGTAATTCATTTGTAGTTCAGCAGCGCAGCAGTGCACCCTGGGAAAACAGTGAGGGCTCCATTGTTCCCCAAGGATGAATCGTTTCCCGAGCAACATAAAGAACCTGTGAAGAACATGACCTCATCCTCCGACAGACCTGACTCAGCTTCATGAAGGTGGGGTTGTGTTGTTGCTCGTGAGCTGTGGCCGCCTGGTGGACAGTGACTGTACTGCATAATAAAAAAATCAACTGAACATGACATTTAATTGATGTGTTATTTAACACTTTTTAATGTTGTTGTTTATGTTTGTGTTATTGTCTTATTATTGACCAAAGTAATTGTTTTGTTTGATTTCTTTTCATTTTTCAGTTTAAATGAATCCTGGACGACCATAGGAACGTAGATTGACCGGTAAATCCTTCTTCACCAGAAAACTCAGCTGGCCTGGGAGCTCCCCCTATAGAAGAGCTGGAGGAAGTGTCTGGAGAGAGGGAAATCTGGGTGTCCCTGCTCAGACTTGTCTCCCTGCGACCCAGCCCCAGATAAGCAGACGATGATGGATGGATGGATGAATCCTGGATTTTAGTGAAGAGCTGCTGACTGCCATTATGAAACAACAGGTGAGAAAGAGTTTCCTGATGGTCATTACACAGAGGTCAGCAGAGGTCAGTTCATAAGTCTGAACCCGCTGTGGCTTTTAGAGGCATTGATTTTTCCAGAGTGAGGAGTTTCCAGCTGAAGGTCCGTCTACTGTTGATCATTTAGGCCTGAGGGCCGGGGTCACAGAGCTTCCCTCCCTCGGATCAGATCTGGTCACGGTCTCCATGACAACGGCAAATGCCACCTGATGTTGGTCCGATGACACCGCAGCATGACCTTTGTGACCTTCATGACCTTCCAGATGAACGGTCCTCCCTGCTGCATCATTAGGACAGAACCATTGTAGTTACAGTGTAGTAAAAGTGACTGCAGCCCAGAGTTTTATGATTATGAGAGAAAGTTGCGATGACGTTAAAAAAAAAAGCTCATAAATGTTGATGTGAGGGGGCGCTGTTTTTTCAATTATTCTTTATGTACATCCACAAAAATGTCACTGAGCTAAGTGTGAAGGCTGTGTTCAAAGGCAGAGTTGTCTTGACTCATGGAAAATCTGACGTCAGCAAAAGTCTTTATTTTCTGCTGAATGACACGATGCTGGAGGAGACGTGAACCCAGATGACCTGGACCAACATGGAACTGTCTGATGAAAAACATCATGATGACGTTTGAATTGTTTCTATAGTTTGACGCCTAGACCTCTGAGAACATGTGAGAACCTCTGACTCTGTCCTGGAGGTTCCTGAACCTCAGACTGTACTGTCATCAGGACGTTGGCCCAGCGGTTGTTTTTCATTTGTGACTCTGTGTGTGCCAGCACGGCGGAGCGGTTCCGATCAGAATCATGATTACCAGTGTCTTTCACTGATTTAATCAATCTTCTGCTGACCACCGAGAGGCTGCTCTGAAATCCAAGAGAGAAAAATACACTTGAGGAACCGTGTTAAAGTCGTCAGTGGAGGAGCGGGTTCTGCTCTGATCGGATTTAAACATATTTATTGGAAGTCAAGCAGTGACTCACATTTTCCTTCATGTGTGAGAGATCTACAGTGTTTCCTGTGCAGAAGGGTGGTCTGTGTGTGTGTGTGTGTGTGTGTGTGTGTCTCTGAAGGGTTTCGTGGCACGGGCTCAGACATCTCTGGATTTATTCCTTAGTTTTTTTGACATAATGATTGTGACGCAAACGTCTGCCCTTCAGGAGGAAACACAGACACTGCTACTCCGAGCTTGAGGACGGATCCTGGATCACTGTCACGCCATCAGACACCACTGAAGGTCTGGGACCAGAACTATGAGTAGGAACCTTCAGGTTTGATGTAAGACCTGATGGTTTCTTCACACAGCGTGAACGTAGAGCCTGAAGACGGAGCTGATGTAGCCTTCAGGTTTAAATGTAGAGAGGAAGTCTGTGTGCCACCAGGGGGCGACTGCACTGATTTGAATTAAATTATTGTTTTCCTGTAGTTCTCTGTAGGAGCTTGATGTCAGTCCAGTCTTAGCTGTTTGGATCTGAGCCTACAGGAGGTCCAGGAAGAGGCAGGTCAGCTCTGGAGGCCTCATCTCTCCAGTGTCTCGACTTTAGCCTCAGGGAACTCAACTGTATCAACAGGACCAGGACCTAAATGTGGTCTCGCTGAGCCACATTTCACTGTGCAGAGGAGCAGCTGGGAATGACCTTTGACCTGAAGACAACACGTCACAACGAGGACAGGAAGGACAGGGTTTCTGAGTGACAACGTCAGTTTGTAACAGAACCACAGACTGAGGTCTACTACACACATACGTGTGTGTGTGTGTGTGTGTGTACTGTACACAGTGTCAGTGGGAGGAGCTGTGTCTACTGTAATCTTCAGTTTTGAACACAGTCTGATGACAACAGCCATGACAGGAGGGTCTGTGGGGGTGGACATGTCCGACATGACAGTGTCCTGCTGTGTTATGGCAACACACACATCTGTTCTACTTCAAAAGTGTGTTTTGTAAACCTTCATGTTGTCATGTTTAGAGAAATACTTCTGAACAGATTTTTTTTAAGAAATGTTCTTAAAATGTTCTTCTCAGATCAGGACACTTTTGTATTGATGTCATTAAAAATGTGAGTTCTTCAATAACTAACTGCAGTTCTTCTCACTTCCTCTCATTCTGCAGACAGGTGAGGTCCTTCAGGGTGAGGATGACAGTCTTCAGGGAAGAGGTGGTCATGGTTTTACACAATCTCCTCCACCATGGCCTTCACCAAGGTCATTAGACCGGTTGTAGGTGTCATCAAGGTCATCAGGTGGACAACCAGGTCATCAAGGTCAGTGGAAAGATGTGACCTTCCTTAAGGTGAGTGTGCCAAATCATGGCCTTCCTCCAAACTCATCAGGACTGAACGGGTCCTCGTCATTTTCAGCAGCAGTAACGGCAGTAGCAGCAGCTGAGGTCGTTGGCAGTCGGTTCTGCTCGTTCAACAGTTGTTCTAAGGAGCCTCACAGCTGTGAATGTGTGGAGTAGGAACAGAGCAGAACTCTGTGGTTCCTCCTCCCAGTGAAGACTCTCTGTTTTCCTCCTGGTGTCGTGCTTCGTTTTCTGGCTCTGTTTTACAACTTCCCGTGACGAGAGCCTGGACCAAACATCAGACCTTCTCTCAGACCAAACATTTACACCGACTGTAATGAATCTGCTAACGTGACTGAGTCGGAGACAGGAACTCATGCGAACCTCCCAGCGCTCTTGTTTTCTTGAGCCGCTGTTGTTGAAAGGTCTGAAATTTCACATCAATTAGAAAAGCAAATGAACTCAGTCAGAGCGTGACGGTCACATGACTGTGTTTGGACCAAACACGACTGCACTGACAAAAACAAACGTTGTCATCTAAGACAACTTCATCAAGCACCAGTGTCTGGTGGCTAACCTTTAGCTTTTCTTTGGCAGTTTTTCTGAGGCTGTGTTGACGTCAACAACACGTTGTTGTTATTATAGCTGTTAGTAGAATAATAGAACAATGTACCGTGGTGGGGGGGCAATATTAGACAACGAGGGAGTGGTCAACCATTTGTGGTCATTAAGATGACAAGACAAAGTAATTCAACCGTAACGTACGACTTAGAGGAGCATCAGAAATACAATTGGCCTGGAGGTTCTCCACTTCTCAGAAACTCAGAGTGATGATGGTGTTGAAGACCTGGACCTGGACCTGGACCTGGACCTGGACAGAGGTTCAACAGCACCTGATCAAGAAGGATAAAACATCTCAAAGACCAGAAGCATGGAAACAATTGTGTAATACTCTTTAATTTAAACAAACACACACACACACACACTGCAGTGTGTGCTGTCATCTTGATGTCATTTAGCATGAGACCAAGTGGTTCTGTCTGTGGGCTGTGGACTGTTTGGGTTTGTTAGTAGTGAAGCTTCTTGTTGTGTGTGTGTGTGTGTGTGTGTGTGTGTGTGTGTGTGTGCACTGTCATCAGTGTATTTATCCTGCAGCCACAGGACCAACTCTCAGTGCTGCAGCAGCAGTAGTAATAACAGTAGTGAACACAGTCTGACTGAGCGTCATTACAGCGGTGGTCCTGTAGGTGGGTTCATGTTACTGTCAGTTTCCTAAAAATATCCCGACTGTTTCCTCTCTGCTCTCTGTGATTCTCATTAAACAGTGGAAAATGTGCTCAGCATTAAATGACACAGAATCTGCACACACACACACACACACACTCACACACACTCTGTTCAGGTGGTTGGATCATTAATCAAAAGACACTTTAGACATTTGTAGAACAGTTTTCTTCTGCAGCTCAGATGGTGTTAACAGCGCCCTCTGGGGTATGTCAGCATTTTTTTACGTTAGCCTCTTGACCCTGGTCACAGAAGGATTCACGGTGATTAATCAACCCTGGATGTTGATGGTGTGGAGTCATGTGAGCAGCGTCACGGCGTCTGTCCAGCAGCTCCACCTCCTCATCTTCTCCTTTCTGAGAACCTCCTGAAGGTAACTGGACTCTTCCTGTGGGTGTGGATGCAGGTCTGGGAAAGTTCAGCTCAGCAGCCACTCAGAGGACAGCCAGCAGGTTCAGTGGACTCTGCATCGTCCCCGTTTGAACACCCAAACCACAAGAACCCGTTTGAGGAGAGGTTCTTTTCTCATTGACGTCAGTGCAGCCGACGGTGAACCCTAATATCAGCGGGGCCGATGGCTGGGCGTCTCCTGGTGTCAGGTCCTGGAGAGGTCTGTGATACACATGATGATGTGCTATCAAGTGTTCGCTGCTGCTGCACGGTTATAATTGTGGTTCTGGTCAGAGAAGAACTGACCCGACTCACAGGTCTCTACTCTTCGGGCTGTGAAGAACCAAAGTGACGGAGAACATGATCTCATACACTCTAGGTTTAATGTCTCCTTTCATCAGGCGTCACCACAGCAGTAGTCGGCTGCTGATGTAGCTCAGGCCTGGGCAAACAGGAGCAAATAGATGAAGCGTCCGTGTGAACTAAGATAAATGTCATGCATAAAGGCTAAAATGATCAAATACTTTTATCATTTTTTACACCATCTATTGGGGAAATGTGGGTATTGCAGGGAAAAGTATAATGATAATATAAATAAATTATATAATTTGGAAACCTTTGACTGGCCGGATTAAAAAGCTGAACGGGCCGCATCCAGCCCTCGGGCCTTAGTTTGCCCATGCCTGTACGAGCTACAGCTACTAGTCATAGATTTTACACTTGATGCCAGTAGGAGATGATGATCGTTCTGCCTGTCAGGTAGGACTTCATCACTGCACCAACCTCACCATAATGAAGTTAGTGATAAAGAAGCATATATATCTAGCACACACACATATATATAGCACATATATATATATAAATACATATATTAAGGTTAGAGAAGTGTACAGTTAGCCAACACGTGTGTGCAGTGTCCAAAAGATAAAGTTTGAAGCTGTTTTACAGTATGTTTAGGTGTTAGCCAGAGTAGCTCATTCCTAGATAGACTCTTCAAACGTTTCTGAAACAAACTGTACTGAAGAGAATCTGTATGTTGTCATTGGTGTGAATGGTGTTTGTGTGGCTACAGTTTGAACAAAGACACAGTGAAGACCTTACACTGATGTGTTTTTGTGGCCAGACATATTTTACAAAAGCAGGCGTCTGCTGTGTGAATCACATCAGTGTGTGTGTGTGTGTGTGTGTGTGTGTGTGTTCTGGTGCTGATTCTCTGTCTTGTTATAAATTTGTTGTTGTTTTTTCCACTCCTGTCAGATCCTTTGGTTTCTCCTCCCGACCAAACCTCCTCTTTCCCCTGAACCAGGCTGAAGGTTCTCGGCCAATCAGGTGCTCTGCTTTCCACCGCACAACAACAACATTTGACTTTGTCTAATGGAGGGCATTTAGGCTACGTAAACTGTCACTCTGAAACATTTTCATGTGCAGCCGCAGCCCAGTCATGCAGACGTCTGATTCAAAGCATCTGTGGGTTACAGGAGGAGGAGGAGGAGCAGGAGGAGGAGGGGGAAGAGGAGGTGAAGGAGGGACAGAAAGAGGAAGAGGAGGAACTTTGAAAACAAGAGAGCTCCTGGCCTGCAACTGTGCGTGATTATGGTTCTATGAATCATCTGCCTGTCCTTCTGACCTCTTCACCTCTGTCACACACACTGATTGATCTGAGAGTAAAAGTGAATGACTTAGCACACTAACACCCTGGTTGTGTTCCACTCTTGTTGCTAAAATCACTGATTTTCTCTGTTGACAGTAGCAGTAACGGTTCCAGCTCGTTCTCCTGGTTCCTCATTCCAGGTCAGAGCTCATTACTCTTCAGACTCTAATGTTTTCCTTCTTTTCCAATCTCCAAACTCTTCCAGGTGTCGCGTCCTCCAGCCTGTGGTATCTGGTATCTGCTCTTACCCAGCATTCCTCAGCTGCCCACTCACTGACCTCACTGTCAGTGATGTCATGTCCTGTTATCTGCCCTGATCAGAACCATGCCTCAGGTTCATCTCCACCTCCTGATGTGACCTGAGTCTGCAGGTTCTGCTCCTCATGGACCTGGACAGGTGTTGTTGTTTGCTGCCATCTCCTGTTCAACAGAAGGAAGTACAGCCTGAGTAACTATTTGGACGGTCCATGCAGGTCGGTGTGACGGACCAAAGCAGCCAGAGACACAGATGCTCACCCTCAGGGAGAACATGTGAGACAGGTCAGAGACACCACCAGACTCTGTTAGACAACTTCTCACTGCGCACACACACACACACACACACACTTCCTGTGTGTCTTATCCTGCTGTGTTCATTGTAAAAGAATGAATACACGAAAGACCCTCCTGCAGGAGGCGCTGCACTGTCTCACTGTAGGGAGTAGTCAGTAATTACTGACTGGGAGACGGTGATTACACGATGACGTCACCGCTGTTGGTGTTTCAGTGTATTTGTCTAAAAATGGTCTTGGTCTGACTGTTCACGGTCAGAGGTGAAGTCACAGCTGCAGGAAGTGGAGGTGACCTGTAGGTGGAGCTCTGCCTCTGCACTGACCATCCATCCACACCATCCTCCTCCTCTCCCCCTTCTCCTCTTCATCTTTCACATCCCTCTCATCCTCTTCCTCCTCTGTGACTCCTCACGTCTCCTCCTGGTCTGCAGCAGGAGGTCAGAGGTTAAGTCCTGCAGTGATAGGTTCATTTGTTCTCCTCTGCTGCTCGTCTCTGTTTGTTCCACAGCTCAGCAGCTTCTCCAACCACAGGACCATCTCTAACCAAACACCAGCTACACACACACACACACACACACACACAGTGCATACGTGTGTGTGTGTGTGTGTGTGTGTGTCAAACGCTGCCATGAATCCTTAGCCATCATTAACAAACTAATCCTCTGCTGCTGCTGTTATTATTCTCTCATTTCTGCCTGTGGTCAGGAAATTATTATGATTTATATTCCTGCCTGTGAGCGCCCCCTGCTGCTTGAGAGTGGAAAACACTCACAGCTGGATCTCTATCTAAAATAACAGAAACAAAAAAACTGTTAGACCTCTCCCACACGCACGCACGCTC